GCGCGCGCGCACACACACACGGACACACACGGATACACGGACACACACACACACACGCACACACACGGACACACGGACACACACACACACACACACGGACACACACGGACACACGGACACACGGACACACACACACACACACACGGACACACACGGACACACACACACACGGACACACGGACACACGGACACACACACGGACACACGGACACACGGACACACACACGGACACACGGACACACGGACACACACACGGACACACGGACACACGGACACACACACGGACACACGGACACACGGACACACACACGGACACACGGACACACGGACACACACACGGACACACGGACACACACACACACGGACACACACACACACACACGGACACACGCACACACGCACACACGGACACACGGACACACAGACACACACACAGACACACACACGGACACACACACGGACACACACACGGACACACACACATGGGGACACACACACACACACACACACACACAAAGAAAAGACAGAAAGAGGGGGGGGCATGGACACACGGACACACACACACGGACACACGGACACACAGAGAGAGACTTTAAGCATCTTGACACTGTCCACTCCCTAGCCCAAGTGGGATGACCTACCCCATCCTCGACACCTCAGATACCACACAAGGCCAGTGTCTCTTACGCTGGGCGGGGGTAGGAGACCCTGGCTCATCTCTTGTCCCCACTGAAGACGCTACCTCACTTCACAACTTACTTATGCATGAAGGGTAAACTGCAGAGGAGGAGCTGACCAGTGGTTTAAAACCAAGAGCTGGAACTCACAGGCTCTGGCCATCTGTCTCATAGACTTCAGATCAAATAAAGTTTTATAAAAACTGGCTTCTGGCTGGGTGTGGTGGTGCATGACTTTGATCCGAGTGCTTGAGAGGTGGAAGCAGAGGCAGGTGGATCTCTGAGTTTAAGACCAGCCTGGTCTATATAATGAGTTCCAGGCCAGCCAGGGCTACACAGTAAAACCCTGTCCTTTTTGTTTGTTTGGTTTTCTGTTGTTGTTGTTGTTTTGAGACAGGGTTTCTCTATGTAGTTTTGTAGACCAGGCTGGTCTTAAACTCACAGAGATCTGCCTGCCTCTGCCTCCCAAGTGCTGGAATTAAAGGCATAGGCCACCACCACCTGGCTAAAACCCTGTCTTAAAACACAAAATCAACAACAACAAAAACTACCATGGCTGAAGAGATCTGAGGCCATAAGGGAGAACTTAATATTATTGTTTAGCTAAATTGCCATGGTGCCAAGATGCCATCTAAATATTTATGTTTATAGACATATAGACAAATGCTGTTACAGCCTTTAGAGGTGTGTGTGTGTGTGTGTGTGTGTGTGTGTGTGTGTGTGTGTGTGTGTGTGTGTGTGTGTACACCACAGCACATGGGGAAGTCAGAGGACAACTGTTGCAGCTGGCTCCTCCCTTCCACCATGTGGATCCCAGGGATTGAACTCCGGTCACCAGACTTGATTCTTACTTGCAGAACCATCTCATCAGCACCACTGCCCCTTTTTAAATGAAAGGCAAATAGGACAGAGCCTAGAATAACCTGTGGGGTTGAGAGGAATGTCAAGTTTCTGTGCAATAAGATTTGATTTTGGTGAAAAATCACCTCTCTTCCTCTTTATGATGAATCTGTCAGCAGTGGTCTGCTGGAGAAATCTATTAAACTGACACAGTGGTCCAGGCATCAAGGGGGAGCTGGGCTCTTGGCCTGTGTGTGTGTGTGTGTGTGTGTGTGTGTGTGCTCAACAATGGTGTCTTTTCAGAGGACTTGGTACAAGCCGTCCATTCCTCATCAGTTGTCAGTGGGCCAGCAGCCCCCTTTCGTTTGGCAGGCTGAGCTTGTGGAAACAGGTCTTCAGTTCTGAGTGGGTATGAAGCTCTTTGGAGAGCAGTTTGGGTTTAAGCTACTTCAGACATTTCTCCTTCCCCATGCCAGGACAATTTACTCTTTTATTCATTCAAAGATGCCTCTGTGAGCCAGACAAGAGGATAAATATCTGTAATCCCAGCAATTCTAGGCCAGCATAGGCAACATAGCAAGACCCTGTCTCTAAAAAAATAAATAAATACTTTAAAAATGCCTTCAATAGGTATTCTTATCCTATCCTATAAATTCAGTGCCTGGATTCCTTCCTGCAAGCAGTCTGTGTCTTAGCTTTTTTCTGCAGAGTAAACCACCCTCTCCCCAAAACCATACTGGCTCAATCAGTCATCAGGGGGCTGGAGAGATGGCTCAGAGGTTAAGAGCACTGGCTGCTCTTCCAGAAGACCTGAGTTCAGTTCCCAGCACCTACATGGTGGTTCACAACCATCTGTAACTCCAGTTTGAGGGGTCCCAATGCCCTCTTCAGGTTTCTGTGAGCAGTACACACATGGTGTACAAACACACACACACACACACACACACACACACACACACACACACAGAGAGAGAGAGAGAGAGAGAGAGAGAGAGAGAGAGAGAGAGGCAAAACTCCCATATATAAAATAAATTAGTAAGAAACAATAATCATTGAGAGCGGGTGAAGCATCCCATGACTATAATCTCAGCACTGAAGGTGAAGGTGAGGGACTCTGGGGAGAATTTTAAGGTCATTCTCAGCTACTTGTTGAGTTTAAGACCAACCTGGGGTCCATAAGAACCTAGAGAGGCACAGACAAGTGGACCTCTGAGTCAAGGCCAGCCTAGTCTACTGACTTCCAGCCAGAACTACATAGAGAGAGCCCATCTTAAAAAACAAAGACAGAGGGAAGAGTGGGGACACATCCATTGACAATCTTTCCATCAAGGCCAGTCAATTCAGATCCAAGCACACCTAACCTCTTTATTCCTGAGGCCCAGGATGTCACCAGCACCTTCATAAGTCTCCACCTGAATCCAGGACAACTGATCAGTTCTTGTCATCTATCTTGTGTGTTGGGTCTTAAAGTACAGTTTGTAAATGAAAACCTGCAGTTTATGTAGCATACAAAAGCTTTTGAACTTCAACGTGATGGATTTCAAGACAGGTAGTTGACCTTCACTCAAGTTCCCTGAGTGAAGGAGTTGGGTCAAAGTGAACCTGGAATGATGACTTGACAAGGAGCAACCTTGGGTTCTGGTCCTTGCCTTTCACTTTCAGACAGTCTCGTTGTTTTCTACTGAATACACAAGACTAACCAGACTGTGAGCTTTGGATATCCTGTCTTCTTTCCTTGTAGGAGCACTGGGATTTCACAGGTTTACAACAACCACCAAGGTTTTATGTGGGTTCTGGGGATTTGAACTCATGGCCTCATGCTTGCATGACAAGCACATTTGTCCATTGAACTGTCTCTCCCAAGCTCCTGCCATCTTGTTCTGTTTTGAGACATAGTCTCTCACTTTTTTTTTCTCTCACTGTATCTCAAGTTCTATTTGTGACTAGTCTAGCTTGATAGCAAATCTTGGGGAATCTTCCTGTCCCCAACCCCCAGTACTGGGGTTAGACATATAGAGCCCTGACCCATGTTTAAATTTTATTTATTCAATGTTTTTTTACATTTTATTAATTTACAGTGTGCATGTGTGCATGCATGCGTGTATGTGTGCGTGCATGCGTGTGCGTGTGCGTGTGCGTGTGTGTGTGTGTGTGTGTGTGTGTGTGTGTGTGTGTGTACTTCAAACAGAGCCCATATATCCCAGACTGGCCTCAAACTCCTTATGCAGCTGAGGATGACCTTGAGTTTCTGATCCTCCTGCCTCCTCTGAGTGCTGGGATGCCAGATGGACACAACTACATCTGGCTTATGTGGTGCTGGGGATCAAACCCCGGGCCTTGTGCACTGTACTGGTCAGTGTTTGTAACTGGCTTGACACAGCTTTGAGTCACCCGGGAAGAGGGAATTGCCTTGATCAGGTTGGCCTACAGGTCATTGTCATTATTGATGGATATTTAGGAGGGCCCAGCCCTTTGTGGACCTGAGCTACATAAGAAAGTTAGCTGAATCCAGGGGACAGAAGCAGGTAAATCTGAGTTCAAAGCAAGCCTAGTCTACATGGCGAGTCCCAGGTCAGCCAGGGCTGCATAGTGAGGCCCTGTCTCAGGGAGGGAGGGGGAGAAAGAGAAAGAAAGGGAGAGAGAGGAGAGGAGAGGGAGAAGGAGAGAGAGGTGAGGGAGAGGGAGAGGGAGAGGGAGGGGGAGAGGCAGGGGGAGAGGAAGGGGGAGGAGGAAGGGGAGGGGGAGAGGGAGGGGGAAGAGGAGGGGGGAGGAGGGGAGGAAAAGCAGTGAGAAAGGAAAAAAGGAAGGGGAGAGGGAGAGGGAGAGGGAGGAGAGGGAGAGGGAGGGGGAGAGGGAGAGGAAGGGAGCAGCAGATTAAGCGTGGCCCTAAGAGCATGCTGGGAAGCAGTGTTCTTCCATGGTTTCTGCTTAGTTTCTGTCCTGATTTCCCTCAATAATGAACTGTGACTCTGAAGTATAAGCTGACCAAGTTACATTTAGTCATGCAAATTTTCACAGCAATAGAAAACAAGTTAGACTATGCATGCTAGCAAGCACACCCCTAACTGAGCTACCCCCCTCAACACCCGCTCTACACACTTTTGGGTCTCACTACATGGCTTAGACTCAAACTCATGGCCCTCCTGCCTCATTGTTACAAATGTTGGAATTAGTGGTACACACTACCATTCCTTAAAACTATTAGTTACCCAAAAATCCTTTTTAAATGTTTTCTAGTATTTACATATATGCTTGGGTTTTTTGTTGTTGTTGTTGTTGTTGTTGTTGTTGTTTTTAATGTTTCAGAGAGCCCCAATGCCTGTGATGAGCTCAATTTTAGTTACAGTTGCCTGAATGAGCTTCCTTCAGGGGTGTCAACAGTGTTGTTTATTCTCTTCCAGTAGCCATGTTCTGCTCCCAGTCAGGTTTTCTACATTGACTCGTGTCTTTAGACCTAACGAGGTTTCTCCTCTTTCCCTGCAGATGAGGCCGAGGCCCATATTGACTATGAGGACAATTTCCCTGATGACAGGTCCGTGTCATTCAGGGAACTCATGGAAGATTCCCGGGCAGAGGGAGAGGAGGAAAAGGCTCAGGAGGACGCCTCTGAGGAGACAGCAAAACAGGATCGTCTAGTCTTCACTTCTGTGTCTAAAGAAAACACAGCCCAGGAAAACACCTTTGTGCCAACCACAGGCTCGCCCGGTGCTGGGAGCCGGGTCCGCACAGACTGGCCCAGATCCCGCCTAAACAGGAAGTACTCACTCTGGTTTCCCGCTGAGACTTTCCACAGGCCAGAGCTGGAAAAGGAAGTGGGGGATGAGACCAAAGATCCACTTCCTGCTGGGGAAAATCACAGTGAAGGAAAACTGGTCCCAGAGGAGTCTGAAACCAGGCTGGTCTATGCCGCCACCTACAGCCCCTCGGAGCCTTTTGTGGATAGGAATGACAGCAAGGCAGAGGACGCGGTGGTGAGCAGCAGTGATGATTCCTGGCTAGATGGCTACCCTGTGACAGACGGGGCCTGGAGCAAGGTGGAGGCAGGGCGGGAGGATGCTGGGTCAGTGGGGCTGGATGAAAGTGCTCTCATGACCCCCGATCAGCCTATTGGGAGAGTTCAGGGGCAGAAGAATGCCACCGTCACGACGAGCGAGTCCACGATATCCAGCTCGATTGTTCCACATCAAATGCTGGATGTAGAGGCACTGGCTCCAGGCCCCATGAATGTGTCTGAGACCCAGGCTCCCCACACCGGCGGTGGCGATTTGACTAAGTATCAATCAACTATACCTCGGAGAGTCACCACAGAGAAGTCACCCACAGTCACCTTACCCTATGTACTCACCACCTCCACCCAAGAGACAGAACCAACGACTCTGCAGCAGACACTTAAACTCCTCCCCTCGACGAGTGTGGAGGCCACCAGGCCTCCCGCAGAGGCCACCCGGCCTCCAGCGGAGACCACAGCTCCTGAGGTTCAGGACAGCTTCCCATACCTGCTGTCTGAGGACTTCTTGGGACAGGAGGGCCCTGGGCCTGGTGCAAGCGAGGCGAAGCTTCTTCCAACCTTGGCACCATGTGTGGGTAATGAGTGTCCCGGCTTACAGAGAGGCCCGGTGATTGCCATCATCGTCACTGTCCTGTGCCTGCTGCTGCTCCTGGCAGTCGTGGGAGCTGTGTGGGGCTACCGCAGGTGCCAGCACAAGAGCTCTGTGTACAAGCTGAATGTTGGACAGCGGCAGGCTAGGCAGTACCACCAGCAGATTGAGATGGAGAAGGTCTAGCCTCTGTCAGCTGGGGCTCTCACAAAGCCACCTGGAGGAAGATTAACTGACCCGTTACACTGATATTTCTCAGGATCGGAGGCGGAAAGGGTCCACCGTCTAAAGTTCAAGTCTTTCTTCTGTACATTCTGGAGAAGGGTCTCTGGAGGCACCTAGCGGGCAGAAAGGGTCTGGTGGAGCCATTACACATGCCAAGGTCTCTTTGGCCATATGCCCTGGAATTCATTGCCCAAATCACAGACCTCTGCTTTGGCCCTACTCCAACACAAGGTTGGGTTGTCACTGTTGTTTAAATCGTGCTAATGTCTTTCCAGCTCTAGAGAGAGAGTTACAGACTCCGTGCCCTGAAACATAGGAATGGTTTTGACGAGCCTTGTATTGAGGGCCACGTTAGGAAGCATGTCAGTTGTGGGATGGGACAGGGAAGGATCGTGTTGTTTCCTTTAGTGTGATGCTGCTGAGGACAGGTCGGGAGCCAGAATATACTTCATAAACTTTGATACTTTTGTTTGTTGAAATTGGAGAGAATTTCAGACTGACATTCTGCCTCGGGATATGAGGAGCAGAGGCCCATGCCCACTCCTGATCCCGCAGCTGTGGGAGGGCCCACTGTTTTGCTTTAAGAACAAGGTGAAGTTTGTGCTAGTGAGGACAGCATTCCTTGTCCATCTGGTCTGGGCTACAAATGCTTGGGATTGCTACCGGGGCTAATGACAAAACCCAACTCTTAGTCTCCTCTCTCCGGATTAACTGTTTCTCTGAACTCCAGTAAGAGGGAACAACGTGGAAGGGAAAAAAATGTTTGAAGAAGCTTGAAGAGCGCTGTATCAAATATAGGCACCTGCTCCATGGAGAAGGAATGAAAGTGGATTGCCCTGGGTTGATCTAGCCTGGCCATTTCCTGTCACGCTGGCCACCTACATGTCTTTCTAGAAGGATGGTCCTCAGACCAGCAGCACATCATGGTTTGTTGGAGGTGTAAGTTCTTTAGTCTCACCCCAGACTCAGGAAGCCAAAGCCCTAGGGCTGGACCAGTTCTGAGCTCAGACTCTTCAGACGGCTCTGATTCATACTAAGAGCCATTGGCTTCCATCATCTGTGGTGATCCTGGAACCCAGGAAGTCCTGGAGACAGGGAGGTGAGCACCTCATGTGCCCTGTCTGGTTTGACCTCAGCACCTCCACAGCGGCACGTGAAGGGTCACCTCCGGCTGTCTCCAGGGTATCAGCCCAGAAGCAAGCACACCATGTTTTTCTCTCTGAATCCCTTCCTAATGGTGTAAAAGCGATGGAGGCCATACATTTATTCTGAAGCACTCTGGGAGTGTCTATTTTTATATGGCACAAGACATCCTGATACATGCCTTTGTGGGTGGCGGTTTTACAGTGGAAAAGTAGGTGGCAGAGGGACTGTCTGGCAGGTGTGAGGCCCTGGGTTCAATCTCCAGTACCACAAAAACAAGAGTTGGTGATGGTATTTTACCAAAGAAGGAGAAAAGATGTCACGATGTATTTCCTGTGCTGTCACATGTTTGCTTTGGAAAACACCAGGCTCGGTACAACACCTTACAAAATCCCGCTGACCATAACTAGGTCAAATGAAGGCCTAGGGGAGCCTCTAGAAAGCCTCTGCCACAGAGGGACTGGAGAGGAGAGGGGGGATGCTCTCTGTATGTAGCCAAAGACGAACTCGACGGAGTAAACCCAGAGACTGTATATTTTTAAAGTAGAGTCTAATCTCCCCTGAGATAGCATTTCTATTTTTATCACTAGTTATGTAAAATAGCCCTCTGTCTCCACACGGGGATCTTGTCAGTAACTAAAATTAACCAGGAAGACTGTATTTATATCAACATGTAAGTAGATGGTACTGATACAAGTGCATTAATATGTTTATTGTAAATTATTAACACATGTCAATGCATTCCTTTGTAGATGGTAAAGTAAGCTGAATGCATTAGCTCGTAAATTTTACTGATTTGCTGTCATGTAAATAAAGGTGAAAGGCATGAGCCTGTAACAGTGTTGGAAGGGCATGAGCACTGGCTCACTAGGAACCCAGTCAGTCACCACAAATCTTTGAGAATGATAAATGCTTATGAAAATGGGGAGGGAGAAGGGTCCCCTTAATATAATAAAGCTTTTGATACATTTAAAATAAACAGTTATTTCCCACAGACACTTGATAGTTGTATTAATGTGTACATTATTGTGCCATTTTTTTAAAAAAATGTATGTGTATATGGTGTGCACAAATTTATATCTGTTGTGTGTGTATGTGTTTTTACACGTGTCTGTATGACAGTGCTGTGTGGGTGTGTCTATATCTATGTGTCTGACTGGGTGGTTGTGTGTCTGTGTGTCTGTGTCTGGTTGTATGTGTGTCTGTGTGACTCTGTGTGTGTGTCTGTATGACTGTGTCTGGCTGTGTGTGACTATGTCTGGTTGTGTGTCTGTATGACTGTGTGGCTGTGTCTGGTTGTGTGTGTGTCTGTGTGACTGTGTGGCACTGTGTGTGGCACTGTGTGCGTGTGTCTGTATGACTGTGTCTGGCTGTGTGTGACTGGGTCTGGTTGTGTGTCTGTATGATTGTGTGGCTGTGTGTGTGACTGTGTGACTGTGTCTGGCTGTGTGTGTCTATGTGACTGTGTCTGGTTGTGTGTGTGACTGTGTGACTGTGTCTGGCTGTGTGTGTCTATGTGACTGTGTCTGGTTGTGTGTGTGACTGTGTGACTGTGTCTGTCTGTGTGTGTCTATGTGACTGTGTCTGGTTGTGTGTGTGACTGTGTGACTGTGTCTTACTGTGTGTGTTTGTGTGACTGTCTGCTTGTGTGTGTGTATCTGTGTGACTTTGTCTGGCTGTGTGTGACTGTGTGACTGTGTCTGACTGTGTGGCTGTGTCTGGCTGTGTGTGTGACTGTAGCTGTGTATGACTATGTGTGTGTCTATGTGTCTGTATGACTGTGTGACTGTGTCTGACTGTATTGTATCTGTGTAACTGTGTGTGTGTGTGTGTGTGTGTGTGTGTCTGTGTGTGTGTCTGTGTGACTGTGTGACTGTGTCTGGCTGTATGTGTATCTGTATGACTATGTGAGGACTGTCACTGTGTGAGGGCTATGTGTCTGGCTCTGTGTGGCTGTGTGTGTATCTGTGTGACTGTGTGTAACTGTGTGAGGACTGTGTGTGTGTGTGACTATGTAACTGTGTGAGGACTGTCTGTGTGACTGTGTGACTATGTGTGTGTGTGTCTGTGTGTGACTGTGTAACTGTGTCTGGGTGTGTGTGCGTGTGTGTGTGTGTGTGTGTGTGTGTGTGTGTGGGTGTGAGTGTCGGGGGTGGGGTGGGTTTGGCTGTGTGTGGATGTCTGTATGACTGTGTGAGGACTGTGTGTGTGACTGTGTAAGGACCATGTGTGTGTCTGTGTGTGTGTGTGTGACTGTGTGTGTCTGTGTGTGTGTGACTGTGTGTGTCTGTGTGTGTGTGTGACTGTGTGTGTCTGTGTGTGTGTGACTGTGTGTGTCTGTGTGTGTGTGTGACTGTGGGACTGTGCTGGTGTGTGGGGTGGGACTGTGGGACTGTGGCTGTGTGTGTGTGTGGCTGTGTGTGTGTGTGACTGTGTAAGGACCGTGTGTGTGACTGTGTGTGTCTGTGTGTGTCTGTGTGTGTGTGTGTGAGACTGTGCCTGTGTGTGTGTGTGTGTGACCTTGTAAGGACTGTGTGTGTGACTGTGTGTGTGTGTGTGTCTGTGTGTGTGTGACTGTGTGAGGACTGTGTGTGTGTGTGTCTGTGTGTGTGTGTGTGTCTGTGTGTGTGTGACTGTGTGAGGACTGTGGCTATGTGTGTGGGACTGTGTGAGGACTGTGGCTGTGTGTGTGTGTGTGTGTGTGTGTGTGTGTGTGTGACCATGTGAGGACTATGCGATTGTGTGAGGACTGTGTGTGTGACTGTGTGAGGACTGTGTGTGTGTCTGTCTGTGTGTGTGTGTGTGTGTGTGTGAGAGAGAGAGAGAGAGAGAGAGAGAGAGAGAGAGAGAGAGAGAGAGAGAGAAAGAGAGAGAGAGAGACTGTGTGAAGACTGTGAGGACTGTGTGTGTGTGTGACTGTGTGAGGACTGTGTATCTGTGTGAGGACTGAGTGTGTATCTGTGTGACTGTGTGAGGACTGTGTGTGTGACTATATGCGATTGTGTGACTACTGTGTGTGTGTGTGACTGTGTGTATAGGACACAGGGCCATCTTAGGTGTTGACCCTCACCTTCTGCACTGTTTGAGACAGTGTCTTGTTTGCCTCTGCACAGGCAGGCTAGCTGGCCTGTGAGTTCTCACACACACACTCCGTCTCTGACTCACCTCTCTCAGCAGGCGCACTGGGGCCACAGATGTGCACTCCTGTGCCTGACTTCATGGGTTCTGGGGATCAACCCTGCCTCATACTCACTCTAAGTGCTTCACCCACGGAGCCTGCTCCCCTCCCCACCATGACTTAAGGATGTTCACTAAGTAATTGTGAAAACAATGTCTTAGTACTTACAATGTTGACAGTGGCTCTCTCTAACCCCTGACCTCCTTCTGCAGGATTGGGGGGGGGGTGCAGAGCTCTTTCCCCTCTCCCTCTTCTGTACTCCTTCCTTCTTCCTCATGCCAACCACAGAGGAATTTGGAGAACATGCTAGAAATACAGAATTCGGCCTTCTCCAGATCTGCTGAGCTAGAACCTTGCTGAGCAGGGTACCTGGCGATGTGTTTGGTAAGATCTGAGTGACCACAGCCAATGACCCCTCTCAGCAGGTAGGCCCTCAAAGGAATAATTAGAGGGGTAGACAGAGGTCTGCAAAGGTGTGGCCTGAGAGAAAGGTTGGTAGGGAGCTGGCAAAGAACTCTATGGCAGCGTCAGTGATCGGAAGACACTGCAAGAGGAGCTCTGACCTTGGAGAAGGTGCAGTCATGGTCCAGCCACAGCCTGAAGCAGTTCTCGGGTAAAGATCTGACTACAGTCTCTTGCACATGTATCCAATTAGTAACAGGAAGTCAGAGAGTGAGGAAGACCAGGGAGTGTACAACATAGGGGTCAGGGAGGCAAAGAGGTCCATCGGGGTGGGATGCTGAATGCAGAGAAAAGATCCATTTTGCGGGGTAGGGGATTCAAGGCAAGGTTTCTCTGTGGCTTTGGAGGTTGTCCTGGAACTAGCTCTTATAGACCAGGCTGGTCTCAAACTCATAGATATCTACCTGCATCTGCCTCCCAAGTGCTGGGATTAAAGGCGTGCGCCACCACCACCGGCTTGAGAAGATCCATCTTGATGGGATGCTATATGCAGAGAAATAGGTCCATCTTGGTGGCATGCTGTGTGCAGAGACCATTAGCACCAATGCCATCTCTAGTTATATCCCACTAACCCAGTAGCCACCAATGGTCTGTGACTCGAAAGCCTCCTGTGTTGCAGACACTTGGCCTCATCCCAGGTCTCTTTCTCTGGGCAGGTGACTGTCTCTCAGCTGCTCTGAGTGACAGCTGCTGAAATACTCATGAGTACTCAGAAGGGAC